GTGCAGTTGAAGGGAGAAAACTATAATGAGTGGGCAACATAGATGGTAAACGCACTTCAGGCCAAGAGGAAAATCGGATTCAGTGATGGTACTTTGAAGAAGCCAGCGGAGGGTGATGATAATCATCAAAACTGGCTTAGTGTGAATTCGATGATTGTCGGATGGATGCATACATCTATTGAGCCAAGAGTTAGGTCTACTGTGTCATTCATAACAGATGCACAGAAGCTATGGGAGCACCTCAAAGAGAGATTTTCGGTGGGAAATAAGGTGAGAGTGCACCAATTGATGTCCAATCTGGCCTCATGCAGATAGGATGGACAGGCTGTTATTGATTATTACGGGAAGCTGGCAAAGATGTGGGAGAGATCCAGACCTACGGGCCACCTCCATCGTGTACATGTTATGCAGCTATAGCTTATGAGAAAGAAAGGGAAGATGAGAGAGTGCATCAGTTCGTAATGGGACTAGACGAGTCACGATTTGATCACATTGTCACTGCAATTATAGAAGCAGATGTGTTGCCTGACTTAGGGAAGGTATATAACAAGATTGTGCGTGAGGAAGATCGTTTAAACTCTGCAAAATCTCGAGAACAGCAACAAGAAGCAGTAGGTTTTGCAACTAGACGAGAAGAAAGTAATGATGATTCTGTTTCATAAACAATGCATACCATAGAAAACAGAGGAGGTAGAGATCGAGTATGTTCGAACTGTGGAAGAACAGGACATGAGAAAGCTGCGTGTTGGCAGTTAATTGGATATCCAGAATGGTTTTTTGAGAGAGGAGGAGGAGGAACACGGGGAGCTTCGAGAGGAGGTGGTTGTGGTAACAATTCGTCTAAAGGAAGAGGACAAGCTAATGTGGCTTATGCAACAACATCAAATCCAACGACGAATGCGCCTCCCGAGACAACTCCAGAATAGTGGAAAGCAATCACTCAGATCCTCAACAACAAACCAAACACCTCCGATAATCTAACTGGTAAGATCATGGGTGATGTGATTATAGACACTGGAGCATCACACCTTATGACAGGAGATATCAATCTTCTTATTGATCTCAAGGATGTATCTCCTTGTAATGTGGGATTCGCAGTTGGAAGCACCACGATTTCAACAAAAGTGAGAGTATTGATTTTGTCTGAACGTATTGCACTACAAGACATGTTATATGTTCTAGACTTAAATTGCTCTCTGATCTCAGTATCTAAACTCCTTAAGAATTCTATTTGCCTCGCGTTCTTTACTGATACTTTGTGTGTGTTACAGGACCGATCTTCGAGGACGCTGATTGAAGCAGGTGAAGAACGTGATGGGGTGTACTATTTTACGGATGTCAGAGCCGCCAGAGTTAACAAGACTGTGAAGGTTGAAGATTCAGTATTGTGGCATCGACAGTTAGGACATCCAGGTTTTTCAGCTTTGTCTTCGTTGCATTTGTTTTCTGCTGTTGGTGTTTCTGAAAGTTTGCACTCATGTGAAGTCTGTTTTAAGGCTAAACAAACAAGATATCAGTTTTCTGAAAGTCTTAATAAAACTAGTGATATTTTCGAATTAGTTCACATGGACGTTTGGGGACCATGTCGTGTCAAAGCTTCAAATGGAGCATCTTATTTCTTAACCATTCTAGACAATTTTTCACGAACCGTATGGACATTTCTTTTACTTGAGAAGTCGGAAGTAAACAAATTAGTAGAGAACTTCTGTGCCTACGCTGATACTCAGTTTGGCAAGACAATAAAGAAGGTTCGCAGCGATAATGGTACTGAGTTCTTATGTTTGTCTCAATTCTTCAAAAACAGAGGGATTATTCATCAGACTTCTTGTGTGGGAACTCCACAGAAAAATGGCAGAGTTGAAAGGAAGCATCGTCACTTGTTGAATGTTGCGAGATCGTTACTCTTTCAGGCAAGTGTGCCGATAAGTTTTTGGGGAGAAGCTGTTATTGCAGCAGCTCATGTTATAAATCTCACTCCGACCAGAGTGCTTAAAGGGAAGTGTCCACACGAGATGTTTTTTGGAACAGAGCCTTCGTACTCTGATCTTAGAGTGTTCGGGTCACTGTGCTTTGCTCATAAACAATTACGAGACAAAAACAAATTTGTACCACGAAGCAGGAGATGCATGTTCGTGGGCTACCCGTTTGGGAAGAAGGGTTGGCAGTTGTATGATTTAGAGGAGCGTGAGTTCTTTGTTTCTCGGGACGTTGTGTTTCGAGAAAATGAATTTTCATTTTCAAAAGAAGTATCTACAGTCTCTACGTCACCTGAGATTGCAGAAAACTTCGAGGATATATTTCTTGTATATGAGGCAGGAACTATAGGCAGGGGGAGTAATAATGATGTGATTCCATCAGTATCAAACATACCGAGTTCGAGTACTGAACCTGTTTCCCAAGATCCTGCAATAATCGAAATTGGACCAGAAGTGAGTAATGAAATAACTACAGTTGAAGCAGGAGTAAGTGATGATCCAGAAGGAACAGATAATGATCAGATTCCTGCAGCATCCAGTACTGTCGACACGGGAGTAACAGAGGTTTTGATGGGTAGAGGACAGCGAGTTAAGACGCCTTCGGTTCGTCTTAACGGCTTCATCATTTACAATGCAATTTGCAGCGACAATAGTACCCCTTGCGTTCAAACCTCTGATCACTCCTTCAGCGTCTATTTCGATCTGGTAACAGGTAACACACTTTGTCCTTTAACCGAGCTTATATCTGATGAAAAATACTCTGTTGGCCACAAAGCTTTTGTTGCAGCTGTTTGTGCTGAGACAGAGCCTAGAAGTTTCAAAGAAGTCATGAGAGATAAGCGTTGGACAAACGCTGTTTATAAAGAAGTCGATGCTCTTGAACTAGCAAATACATGGAGTGTTACAGACTTGCCACCGGGTCGTGTTGCTTTAGGAACGATGTGGGAGTTCAAGATAAAATATAATGCAGATGGGACAATAAAAAGATTTAAAGCAAGATTGGTTGTGCTTGGTAATCGGCAGAAATCTGGGTCGGATTATGATGAGACATTTGCACCTGTAGCAAAGATGACAACTGTGCGGAGTCTTCTAAAAATTGTTGCTGCAAACAACTGGGAAGTCCATCAAATGGACGTTCACAATGCATTTCTCCATGGAGATCTGCAAGAAGAAGTTTACATCAAGCTTCCGCAAGGTTTTACACATGGTGAACCTCATAAAGTGTTGAGGTTACACAAGTCCCTTTATGGTTTGAAACAAGCCCCTAGGTGTTGGTTCGAAAAGCTCACAAATGCACTTCTGCGGGCAGGGTTTCAGCAGTCGTACTCTGATTAATCTTTATTTGTATACTCTCGTGGCGGTGTGGAGATAAGAGTTTTGATATACGTTGATGATTTGATCAGTTGTGGGAACGATGGTGAAGCGATTCAGAAGTTTAAAAGGTATCTTAGTGAATGTTTTCACATGAAGGATTTAGGAAAGCTCAAGTATTTCCTTGGTATAGAGATAGCTCGAGGTAAAGAAGGGTTCGTATTGAGCCAAAGAAAGTATTCGTTGGATATAGTGAAGGAGATGGGGCTGGATAATGCTGCAACGGCCGCAACACCGATGGAGCAGAACCATCATTTGTCGACTGATGATAGTTCTTTCATGACTGAACCTGTGAGATACAGAAGACTAATGGGGCGACTAATTTATCTTGCTAATACCAGGCCTGATATATCTTACTCAGTACACATTTTGTCACAAATTATGCAGAAACCGCGTGAGAAACATATGGAGGCTGCTATGAGAGTGGTGCGGTTTCTTAAAGGTATTGAAGGGCAGGGTATTTTACTCAAATCAGACAATGACCTGCAGCTTTCTATCTACTGTGGCGCTGTTTGGGCGGCGTGTCCGCTAACTAGAAGATCTCTAACAGCGTATGTTGCAATGATAGGAGGATCACCAGTTTTCTGGAAAACAAAGAAGCAGAGTGTGGTCTCTCATTCTTCAGCTGAGGCGGAGTACCGCGCCATGTCAATGGCCACACTTGAGGTAAAATGGCTTCGGCAACTATTGACTGATTTGGGATTTGCTCCAAGTACTCCTACACGTTTGTTTTGCGACAGTAAATCTGCCTTGTATATTGCATCAAATCCAGTTTTTCATGAGAGAACTAAGCATGTTGAGATTGATTTCCACCGAGTTCGTGACGCCTTGAAGTCAGGAATGATCACATGTTCGTATATTGGTACTAAAGAGCAGTTAGCTGATGTCTTGACAAAGGTTTTGGGGAAGTTGCAGTTCACTCATCTAATGTCCAAGTTGGGCATTTCCAATGCTCCTATTTGAAGGGGAGTATTAGGATAAATATGCATTTAAGATGAGATAAACATGTAATATATTGGTGATAATGACTCCAATATAAGTCGGTATCTAGATAAACTTGTAAACAGGTATATATGTAGAGCTCATGCTCATTGATCAATACACAGAAAATATTCAGTATTTGTTCATCTTTACAAAATCTCTAATCTCTTTACACTTTTAGAAAAATCGCGCATAGCTACGATTTAAATCGTGACTTTGAAGCCTCCCTCCATTAGAGTATTTTGAGTTCTTACTTACTTAGTACTGAGAAGGGGTTGTTTCTCTTGAAAAAGAGTTATGGATAGAATCAGTAATCTACCAGATGAGATTATCCACCACATTGGCTCCTTCCTCTCTGCAAAAGAAGCTGCTTTCGCCACTCTTCTCTCAAAACGGTGGCGTACCATCTTCACCATCATACCAAAGCTTCATTTCGATGGTTCAGTTAAAACTAACAGTTTCAAGGAGTTCGTGGATGGAGTACTGGCCCTACCTGTCAGCTCTCGTGTTGGAACATTTTCACTCAAATGCAAACATGTGCCTCAGTACGAAGACCTTATCAACCGTTGTCTCCGTCACGTGGTGAACCGTGGTGTTTTGGTTCTTTAACTCAACATCAAAGTTGCCAGAAAAGGATATTATTCACTTCCTTGTGAGGTTTTCACCTGCAAGAAAGTTTCCACCGTGAAGCTAGGGTCTGGTTTTGTCATCAAACTTCTCCCTACGGATGTTTCTCTTCCTGCATTAAAGTCTCTGTTTCTTGACTCTGTTCGGTTTCATGGTTTTGATGGTCGTTGCTGCTCGTTTAAAACGCTTCTTTCTCAGTCCCCTGCCCTTGAGGAGTTAGTGATGGATGGAATGGAGTGGGAACGCTGGAGATGGTGCTCCACCGTGTCTAGTAAGACACTTCAAAGGCTTACGCTTCAACGTAGAGAATGGTTTTCTTATGATGAAACTGACGAGGAGAACATTAGGGTTGATTCTTGGTGTCTTACCCATGAGTTTGATGTTCCTAAGGAGTATCTAATTCTTAATCTTGATTCCATTGTTGAAGTTAATCTCAATCTTTGTGCTGATGAGGAAGGTATATGGAGGCCTCGACATGCTAATACTTTCAATCCTATGCCTCTGATTAATACTTTTAAAAACGTTGAGATTTTGTGCTTAGCTTTTCAAACTCTGGAGGTAAAAAGTGTGCCCATCTATCTTTTTGATATAATCTTGAAGTAGCAAATTGATTGATTTTTTTTTTTTTTTTATGTTTTCAGATGTTTGATGTCTTCAATGAATCAATCCAAATGTTTTAAAAGTTGTCTCAGTTATCTCTTGTCCTTTCTGACCGATGTTTGTTTTCTTTAACAAATGTGATGAAGAAATTTCCAAATCTAAAGACTCTCATCATCGAGTTATATATAAATATGACTGAAATCCCTAAAGTTCTTTCATATTATAAAATCTTGAATGTAATTGACAATTACTATTTGTAAATCTTTAAGGGTTCCTTGAGCTATGAACAATATTCTTTCCTACCGTCTTGTATGGTGGAGGTCCTAAAGATAAACGAGTACGATGGTTCTGTCAACGAGCTGGAGCAAATGAAGCATTTCTTGGGAAAGTTGTCGTGTCTCGAGCTGGTCGAAGTTGGTCTGCTAATGATTCCAAGAGCTTCCTCCAAGTGCAAAATCCAGGTCAAGTTTTTTCCAAAGAGTTACTAGGACCAAACTCTACTGTTTCCTACTTTTGGTTAAGTATGTTGGAAGTTGGATATATGATCTATCTTGGTTAAGCTAGGATTTGTCATTAGGATACAGTCTAGTCTATGTATGTTGAAATAAGACCGTGTTTGTTTTGTTTCTTCATATCTGGTGGTAATTGAAAAACATAACAAAACAAAAGAAACTATACATAATTTCAACAAATTTAGAACAAATCTAAGCTGTAATCTTTCACCAAATTAATACGTTATATCATTCATTACATTGTTTCAAACCACTTTCTCTCATTTTTTCCTTTATAACCAATAAAACAATAACCATCATCATCTAAATTAGCAGCAGAAGAAGAAGCCTCCTCTACCTTCTTTCTCCTGCGAGTTTGCGTCCGTAGTAATCTGATCTCCGTCTCTGACAGCCATCAATGAGCAAGTTCCCGGCGATTCAGGTGGCAGCACGGTGTTTTCCGACGAGAAAACGCGTTTGATTGAGGGAGGAACAAGCTCAGGTGCTGAGATTGTGGAGAGGTAACGTAGGAGTAGTTTAATAATCTCTGTGAAGTTTGGTCTGTCGTTTGGATCTTCTTTCCAGCAAGATGTTACTATCATTGCTAAATCCTCCGGTAAATCATCTGCACTAGGCCTCACGTTCTAACCAGAAATGTAAAAAACAAACAAACAATCTGGTTAAGCAATATGTCTGGTTACAAAACCAGTTTCACCGGTAATATAAAAGGTTTGAGAATCAAGAATCAAAAGGTTTCCAAACCAAGAATCAATTCTTGGAATCAAGAATCATACAGTTGACAGTCAAGAACAAAACAGTCGCAAATCAAGAAGTCAAAAACCAAAAAAAGTAGGATTCAATAAACAAACCTTGAATGCAGCAGCGTAAGCAGCTTGGAGATTTGACATGCCCTCAAAAGGTAACTTGTTGTGGATAAGCTCCCACAAGACGATGGCGAAGCTGTACGCATCTACCTTATGGTTATAGTGTTTTTTCTCTCCTTGCCTCAACGTGACCGTACTATAAAGCTGTTTAATTAAACCATAATTATTTCTGGAACCTAATAAATGATTTCATGGTGGGTGCATATGAGTTAGTACCTCAGGAGCCATCCAACGATAAGTACCAGTTTCTGCAGTCATCATCTCGGTTAGTGATTCTTCTCTAGCTAAACCGAAATCCGCTAGCTTAACAGTCTTGTAATCTGCTGTCAAGATCAAGTTCTCTGCAATCCAAAAGGATTTATAAGTTTTTTTATTTAGAAAGTCTTCAAAAAGTGTGGGTTTGGTTTTTAAATGTGTTACCTGGTTTGAGATCACGATGAATGATTCCATGAGAGTGTAAACATTCCATTGCCCGAGCAATGTCAAGAGCAAAACCAACAGCTATACGTGTTTCCAAACGCCCTGGACGCAAACTTACAAGGTATTTACGCAATGTACCACCGAGTAAAAGCTCAGTGACTATAACCATGATTGGTTCTTTGCAAGCTCCAATGAACTATATATTTACACAAAAAACGAATCAAAATATATGTTTTAGTGCTGCTGTCTCTAACCAAACTCTCTTATTAGCAAGAAAGAAGCTTGAACCTTGACCAAATTCTTGTGTTGAACTCTAGACAACATAGAGACTTCTCTCGCAAATCTGCTATCTCTTTTAGCAATCTCTTCCGGAGATTCTCCTCTTTTTATAATCTTTATTGCAACTGTTTTGTTTTTATACCTAAAACAAGACAAACCAATCACTATTTTGATGATGCTTACTCATTAAACCGAACACAGATATGCAAAAAGACTAAATATTAGTTTCAACTTTTTCATATTATAAAAAGTTTCTTTATTCGGACACAAGTTCAAGAACCATTTCAAACAGATCAAAACTCTGGGAAAAAAGGGAAACAATAATGGATCAAGAAGTAAAGCTGAAGTCAAAAACGAGATAATGAACTTACTTTCCTTCATAGATTTTGGCATGAGATCCTTCACCAATCTTGGGACCAACAAAGAGATGTTGAGGATCAACGACCCATTTAGGATCCAATTCAAACACTTGATCTGAGTAAAACCCAGTTCCAGATCCCATTTTTAATACTTGTGATCTTTTTTTTTGTGTATGGTTAGAGATCTGTCAAATCAAAACCCTTTCGATGATCAATCATTTCTTGGTAAAATCAGAAAGAAACAAGATGCTTTTAGAGAGGGGGATTCTATAAAAGCGAAAGCAAGAGACTTCCTTAAATGTAATAAAAACAAAAGAGACTTAAAGAAAGAAACAACAATCTCAATTTTGTGAATAGCAAATACAAAAAGATCGCTCTCTCTTTGGTGCTGGACTTGAGTTGACAAAAAGGGAACTGAAGATGAAACCCAGATGGAGAAGTGGTCAACACTTGATGATTAATAAGAGTTCTACTTTATCTTGGTGTTATAGATTTATAAACATTTGTTTATTGTTTTTTGTTTTTGGATTTCAACAAGTTTAGGACAGAAAGATTTTGAATGATCGAAAATGTTCGCTTTTTATGAGTAAGTAAAGTGACAAGAAATCTCATCTCTTTTTGTCTTTGTCTCTCCCTCCATGTTTTGTTCTGCTTATTTTTTTTGGTTGGTCGGCAGAATGTACAGAGGCATAAACCGAACGAAATTGATCCAAAGAACCGGACTTACACAAATCTTAAACGGGGATAAAGTCAAATAAAGGAAGTTTCCTAGACCGTCAGAGCAGTGAAACAAGTCTTTCTCTTTTTTAAAGAAAGAAACAAAACAAAGTCTTTTATTAGTTTTTCTTCAACAACCAACACTCTTTTGATTGATTGACAAAAAGACAAAAAAAATTGTGCATGTAATAAAAGATGGTGGTCCAAAAAGAGATATAAAAATTCGTCGGTGGAGTGAGCAATGTGGACCCTTTTTAATTTACTTATAAGGATCCGTCCTTTGGTACTTTCAAAGGAGATCATATAACCGTAACAAATTAAAAAATGCCAACTTATTTTATTTCATTCTTTGGTTTTCTATCATGTTGGAAAATGGTGAAAAAGATTAATTTAGGTCCCTAAAAAAACTTCATCATTGGGTAGATAGAGTCGGGTGCCGTATTCGGGTTAGGCCCAATTAGAGCCGGTAGTGATTAAGAACTCAGCCCAAAGGATGAGCTACCTGGACAAAATGACATTGAACAAAAGAAAAACAGCTTCATGTAACAAAATTCTGAACCATTTTTAATTCAAAGACCAATGTGAATGATTCTCTTACAAAACTTCGTGGAGAACGATGAAAGTCTGAGCTTTTTCAGACAATCAATAATGCATAAATAATACAACACTGAAGAAGCATAAAGTGCTACAACTCTTATGCGATCTTCCATCAAATAAACACATCATCGACGTTTATATAAACATGCTTTCAACTCAGGCCACTCAATTTTCTTCTTATTTGGCTTCATCTGCTCCTATATAATAAGCACACAAAGGTTACATAACTGAAGTGGGAGATCCAATCTCAGAGACTAAAAGAAAGCTTTTCTTTACTAACCTTTTTCTTGAAATGCAATAAGATGAACATCTTGTTCGAGAAGTCCTGCACACAAAAAAACAACAAATGTTTTTTTTTTTATATATATAGATAGTGAAACTTCAGAGAACAAGAGTACAGAAAGTAAAAAGAGGATTTTACCTTTAAAGAAGAGCTAAATCCAAGGTCAGAAACTGCTTTCACAAAGTCTTTAGGGTCTGCTCCTCCATTGTTTGGATCAAACCTGCTTTTGACTTCCGCTATAAGAAGCCAACCGCTGTTGAACATACCCAAAGAATGTCTTATTCAGAACCATGACAAAAACTATGAAGGAAGCTCTAGGAGGTGAAAAAAAAATAACAGAACCTTGGACGAAGAACTCTATGAGCCTCCTTGATGTAACTCGAATAGTTTGTTCCCATTAAGGAAAGGCAGAAAACAGCAACATCTACTGATGAAGACTCAAGCGGAGTCTATCAAAGAAACCATAAATACAAGAGTGAAAAAAAAAAAGTATAATGAATGCAGTAGTAAGATTTTGAACGTACATTTGACATATCACAGGCAATAACAGATGGGTCCTTTGAGACAAGATCAAAGGAGAAAACTTTGTTCTTCACACTCTTTGCAATCCTTGCATCACCTAATAACAAAATTAATAACAGATTTTATAACCAAGTAAAAGCACCTTCAGCCAGCAAACACACAGGATAAGATAAGTCTTCTCACCACAGCCAAAATCAGCAACAACTAAAGAAGAGCTTCGAGACGATAACCAACTTATAATGGAGTTAACAGGAAGCTCAGGCCAATTTGTCATTTGTTGCTGATAACCTGTATGATACTGAAACAAGACAACAGACTCAATTACTTGTTGTTGATTAATATGACATTCTTGTAATGTTTTTGTACCATATCAAATAAGCTTGGATCTTCACTAAAGTAGTCTAAAGCTTCTTTTCCACTGACAAAAAAAAAAAAAACAAGATTATTGAAACTGAAGCAATGTTGTCGGAAAGAAATGAAAATTTTGGTAAACGTACGAGCAAGTGTAGAGCTTCTCATTAAGCCTCCTGAAGTTCCCTCCTGATAATTTCTCTCGAAGCTGCAGATTTTTATTGTAATGAGTTCAATACCTCTGTAACTTTAACTACAAGACGACAAAGCTAGAGAGAGAGAGAGAGAACCGTGTCAAGAAAGTTGGAGGGTTTGGATCGTTTGGACGAAGCTGAAGATGCTCCATGTTGGTTGTTTTTATGGGTTTTGGTATCTCTTTGACGCTTTTTGTCGTTGTTCTGATTTTTAGGTGTCTCGTTAGGATCTTCTTTAGGACTTTTAGGGTTTCTTTGTCTCTTCCTCTTCCTGTTTCTGCTTGTAGATTCCTCTTTCATGGTTTTAGCCGTCGTCGTCATCGTCTGTCTTCTTCCTCCACCGCAACTCTCTTTCTCAGCTGTTAGGTTTAGTTTCACAAGTAGAAAGAAGATTGTTCTCTTTTGGGCCATGGACTTAAGTTTATTGGGCTTTTATATTAGGCCTAATTACACCCAATGTACCTTTCATGAAAATTATAAAGATTTCGAAACAAGTCTTTTTCTTTAATTCTATCTTTTGTTTTAAAAAAATCAAACAGTGCATTCTATTTAATTTTTCTGTTTTATTGTTTTTATTAATGTACTAGGTGATTTTCCGGTGCTCATGCACGGGTATAAATATTTTTAAAGTAAATATATGATAATAATTGATTACTATTTAGTTTTAATTCTAAATTAATTTATAATTTGTATGCATCATTTATATTAATAATATTATTTTAATTTAATTATACTGTAGTTTTATATATGTTATATCTAGTCTATTTTGTTGTTTTTACCGTTGATTTAGTTATCATTTGGATAAATTGAATTTCTTTGAATCCAACTGTTATATCTAATTTTTAATTAATTACTTATTTGCATATAGTGGGTGTTGTCTTATATATGTAAATATATTTTTAGAAAATTATGTATAACTTAAGATATATTGTACTTAAAATGAATTAAAAATTAACTAAAGTGTCTGATTCCAAAATACGTAAATTAATATAACGATAATATTCTAAAGTCTCATGCATATATATAAATTTTATAAAAGAACTAAAATTGTAAGAGTTGATTAATATTTATTTTCATTTGTTAATATGTTTTGAGTTATCCGATGATCAATAGAAGGTTACATGCATAAGTAGTTGATACATTTTTGGAAGCTCATGAACACATATCAATATTTACAATAATTAAAATATTTATAAATCCTAAATAACTTTATGCTTTAGATTTAATGAATATAAACTAAAATTTATTTTAAATAATCTTAAAATTGGGAATTCAGATCTGCTTTGGTATTTTTATTATGGTTATATTTAGTTTCACAGACATAAAAACATAAAATTTAATATTAAGAATTTTTTTTAATAATGATAAAATATCATATATCTAGCTCATTAAATTAGCTGTTAATGATTTGATCAAGTGATATTTATTGTTAAATTTATTTGAAGTTTTTAATATCTCTTAAAAATAAGCACTGCACAAAATTGTGATTATATTTGAAAATAATATTATATAGGTAAAATATAATTTATAGATAATTTTATGTAATTGAAAGATATTATAGTCAACTAAATAAATACAAAATCAATAATACTAATTATAAACTATTTTTATTACTCTAAAAGTATATTTTATGTTATTTAAAAATATTTTAAATGTATTATTACTATTTTGTGAACTTTCCTTTTTTATGAAATCATATTATATATACATATATTTTTCGTTTTCAATTTTTTTTTGTGACTTTATAAGAAATTTCCTTTTTATTACATATATTTTTGGAAATTTTTGAAAAGGAAACTAAATAAAAGAATGAATAATACTATTTTAATTATTTTTAATTCATTAAGGGTATCAGTGTAATCAACCATCGTGAGAGTGAACGTGAGAGCGCCACATAGGAAACTGACTTCTCAAATAATATTATAGAGATTTTTAATTAGAGTTACAGAATTTTCACTATTCATTTCTTTTAATTTTTATAATTTCTATATTTTATTCCTGTTTCTCAATGTCAATGTTCTTGATTTTTTTTCCTAATTTCGTTCTTTAGTTAGTTATATATATATATCTTGTCTATTTATGTACAAAAATTCATTTTTTCTGTTTCTTAATTTATATCCATTAGTTGCAGCATTCTGCAAACTACGCATTCTTTTTCTTTTTCTTATTCCGTATTATTTATTTTGAAGCATGTGAACTCTCAACTGATCAAAGACATGAACTAATACGGACAATTGGTCGACAAAAACCGGATCAATGACGAACCAAATCAAACAGAAACGAACCAGAGCACTAAACCAAATCAAAGTTTTATTAAAGGTCCCAAAAAGTTGCCCCATATCAAGATTTTCACCAAACCGCAAATACAAAGCACAACAACAAACACAAAGTGGAAGAAAAGGAAAACTACATAAAAGGAAGAGGGAAAAAAACTCCCAGAAACCAAAAAGGTTTGTATGTGTTTCTTAAAACATAAACAAAACTTCTATTTGAATCAAATAGCCAAGTAAGAAGTGTAAGCGTAGGTGGTTTGTTATCCAGACCTCTTGAAAATGGTGTACCCGATCATGGCTATAGTTGCAATGGCTCCAACCACAGCTGCTCCAAGATACAACTCTTCTTTATCAATAGGCTGGAACCATATGGCGCACTTTCCTTCTTTCTTGACTGGCTCTGGCTTTGGGTTTTCGTTTTGGCAGCACGAAACGCTGCTGTTCGCTCCTTGGCAACATCCTCCTGTGAAATTCTCAACTACAGGGTTACCGTTAGGCACCACTCTCTGTTCATGCTCAGCTACACCTCCGGATAAGCCCATTTGTCCCCTAAAACAGAAAATAATATATTGTAGTCCGAGTAAATGAATGTAAAAACTAACCCACACACCATAAATAGCACATAAATAATCCTAACAGAGACGTGTGCAAACTACAAAGCAAGAGTTTAAGACTCATACCTCCAAATCCTTTGAATGATTTCTCCTTTAGCAATATGCTGGTCAAGCAATTCAGGAACATCATCAGGGGTTACATATCCATACCTGCATTTAAAGTAAACCATGTGATGCATAAGCCTACTTTTAACATTTTCAGTTTCTTTTCTTTTGATCCACGCATTTACTTACCAATTGCCAGAGATCTTTCCAGCTGAATCAGGACTGAAGATGATTATATTACCAGCATACTTGTGTTGTCCAACGTGAGAGCATCGCTTGAGAGAAATTTGGTCAGATAGTCCACGAGAGCCAATCTCCTGCTCGAACCTCTCTAAGATGACAGGTCCACAAACACCACATCTCTTGTCTCGGCTAGCATGCGTACACACAAATACAAATGTTCCAGATATTTTTTCCTCTCTCCCAGATCTCCATGGCTTCCCATTCACAAGCACATCTTCAACGAAACTTTCCACTTCAGTATCCTTAATCCCCCTTGTAGATCATAAAAGCGAAACACATAATTAGAGTCTAGTATCAAAACTTATGCAGTTCAAAATCAGAATCTCAGGTCTAGTAACTGAGCTATACAAGAAGTAGGTCTGTGCATTTGTAACTAAACCTTAGATCATAATCCGAACTGAAAAATCCAAATCTTCACCCTATCCGATCTATAAAAATACCTGAATGAATCTTATAGGTAAGTGGTTGGGTTGTGAGTATTATGATAATCAGAAAACTCAAAAACCCCAATAATACGATATGAAGATAGAATTAGTACCGGATATGACTAGTTGGCACTATATTGAGTTCCTCAAATTTTATATGATATCCAAAAATACTTGAACCTAAAATATTATTAGATGAATCTGAAAATAATGAGTCGATCCCCAATGAAGTTTAGGAAGCTGAGTCCGAAAACTCAAACTCAAACGGAATCAATTAAAACTAGCTTACGCAATATTCACTCTCCAGAAATCTAAATATAAGTCGAGAGTTTCTAAAATTAGTCAATGCAATCTTCATTCTTTCGGAATCAATCAATGTTCTAGTCAAATGTATCTATAACAAAACGATTAACGCTTAGAATAAAAAAAAACTAGAAGAGGAACTACTCACTTGTATCTGACCATATCAGGAAAAATCAACACATCTCCATCGGATCCACCACCTTCGCATACATTAAGCTTCGTCTACAACAACAGATCATTCAATACGCCAAAAGTCAGATTTAAGACATTTCGATATTATCACATAAGCGAAAGATGATGTTTGTCTACCTGAACGAGGAGATCGGCTTTGCGATCCTTGAGCAACGTAGCGAACCTTTGAGGCAAACCTTCTTCTTCGACGTGTGAGATCCAAGCTTCAGGAGTCTTGTAAAGGACGAAAACATGGCGACCGTACGAAGTGATGGAGTTTGCGATGTTGGTGCTGTACATCTCCGGCCTCTTGAACCCGAACTCCGTGTCTTCCGACGCCGGAACAGAGCTCATGTTCTCAACGTTTGTCATCTATCAACAAGTAGGTTTTGCAGAAGCAAAGAGTCAAAGAGAGAGAGAGAGAGATTGAAGAAGAGGCAGATTCGAAAATGAAGGACGCACGCAGTACAACTCCAACGTTTAATATTCGATCGTTCGAACACGTCTCGAGGCACACGCACGAGTATGGGTCCCGCATTTTGTGATATGACAGGTTGGTGATATAAACTCTACCCTGACGGATAGAATCGTGCAAATTTGACTCGCTCGTCATCTAATCGTTTAGTGACAGACAGTTGATTTAGATTAACTATGCAACGTTGGTCAACTGTGTCACACGTATTATATCATTTTCTTGCAAGCTATTTGTCTGGTGATGTTACCTCCTTAAACGTCTCTGGTGATATAATATAATTAAATCATAGTTACAAAGATTAAAAATTTAAAACATATTTGGATTTGGTGTAAATTCTTAGCTACATACATTGCGTAACTGTATTGTTTACGATGAACTCGTCAATCGACCTTTCAAAAAATTTCAGTTAAAATTTGGCGAACTATTCAATTGTATGCTATTAATCTATATTATAATGATTCAGTTTAAAGGCTCCTTAACGTGTCCATATAGGCAGATTGTGGGTCCCACATTTTTAAATTAAAATAGATAGTTTTTTTAAAATGGATACAAACAAAGAATATCAGTTTAGTCAAGTGGTCTAAGACCCCTTGTTTGGTCTCCACGGACACGGGTTCAATTCTCACTGCTCTCATAAACCAATTAATGTCATCATCATAAAAATATTTTTTAAACACACATAGTCTTGGTAAGATGGTTACAAACAATGAAATACACTTTATCCAAGTGGTATAAGGTGTCTTATTAAGTATGCAAGATTGTGGGTTCAAACCACGCAGCTATCATGTATTTTTGATTTTTTTTTTTTTATTTAGGTTATTATCATATGGGCTTTTTGTTTATAAGGTTCTTATGTTTTTTTGGGCTTATTGTTTTAAAGATCAAAATAGTTGTATAAACCCTAAACCTTAATAAGTTCAAACCCAAAATAGTTAAAAATGAATCCAAAACGAATAATAAAACAAAAAACAAAAAAAACAAGTCTCATGTGGTTGCCTACGCGGTTAAAACTATCCAATTATAATATAGCTCAACCCAAAAATAATAAAAAATAAATCCAAAAACGAACAGACAAAAAAAAAAAAAAAGTGAATTCCACGCGGATGCATACGTGGATGGCTTAATGAGGGTTGAATAATATAGATTAGGAGCTCAAAAAGTTAAATCATTGCACATATTTCCTAATATATATTTTCAAAAAATTTGTATGTGAGATAAAATAAAATAAAACAACAAAAATTAATTATTTTCCTTATTATTAAATGAATATATAATTTCTCTTACGTTTTAATAACTACTATAATTTCCTTGAAAACATTCCTCACCACCGATTCCAGACTCCGACGAATGGATTCCCACAGTCGATGACGCCGTAGATAAAAATGCCACATCATTTATGAACAAAACTCAAACTTACAAAAAACCATATATAAAAGCCTATCTAATGAAACNAAAATTGTATGTGAAATAAAATAAAATAAACAACAAAATTTAAGTAAGTTATTTATTAAATGAATATGTAATTTCTCTTACATTTTAATAACTACTATAATTTCATTGAAAACATTTCTCACCACCGACTCCAGATTTCGGCGAATGAATTCCCACAGTCGATGACTCCGTAGATAAAAATGCCACATCATTTATGAACGAAACCGAAACTTACAAAAACCATATATAAAAACCTATCTAATGAAACTTAAACAATGAATATTTAACTTAATTAAGGTTATTTTCATATTGATAAATCGTTTAATACAAATATAAATACTATAAATATATAATTATATCAAGTTTTGACATACGATATAAAAACATGAAATTTTCCATTTCATTATTAATTTGTGTCATTAGAAGAATCCACTAAACCAACAATCGAAAAAAATACACGCAAACATAATGATCCCGACCCCGCGCTTGCGCGGGGAATATGCAACTAGTTTAATTAATTGAATAGTTCTTCACCACAGGCGGGACAGAAATAAAAAGTTTTGGACTTGTTCGGATAACGGGATTTGTATGCTATTAATTTATTGATCGCAGTATGACAAAACATCATGTGATGTTGAGCTAAACCGGGTTTGTCAAGCTGATGGAGCAGTTAATCAATTCGAATAATTGTTCATGGTACACTTGTTTCAAAATGCAACGGTTTACTTGAGGCTGCTAGATCCGCGAGAGAGAGGAGAGATTGATTCAGAGTCTTTGATCAAGCTCTTGAGGATTCTTGTGATTGTAACTCTTAACATACAATAAATACATTCTATCATGACCATGGTTTACTACAACTATCCATCATCATCGTGCAGATTATTTATTACATAAGAGTTTTGAGTAAACAAATTGTAAGAAAAAAAAAAGGGGATCAAGAATTTTGAAGCAAATTGTCGAAATAAAGGTTTAAGACGTATCTAGCGGCGGAGAGAACATCAAGGCGTCTCTCACTAGGCTCGTACTTACCTTTGCGGAGCTGATACCGATGAGTCACCGCCGAGATTGTGTACGTTTGACCTTCTATCATTACATTCTCTCCACACTGAAGATTCTGCAAAAATCACAGCTTTTTCCCCCATCAAAATCAGCTAAGAAGGAACCAAAATTAAATGTGACGAAATTGAAGTGAAAGGAAGAAGATTTAAGGATTTGGGACTGACATGAGGAAGGCAACGAACGCCGAGAGACTTAGGTGGGGGAGTAATTTCAATTACTTTATAAGGAGAAATGCTTTGATCTCTTCCTTTCTCTTTCTTTCTGCAATCTATCTCCATCCTCCTCCTCCTCCTCTCTATCTGCACATATCCATTTTTTTTTTTGGAAAAAAATTCTAATGATCAGAAAGACGATAAAAAGAAAAAAGGGATTAATTGCGATGCAATTCGCTCTGAAAATCATTACTTTTCCGAAGCAGACGATGTTTGAAGCAAGTGTTGCCATCTCCAGATAACTTATTCTCAAACCCAGATAATGCTGGTAACAACGGTTCCAAAGAATAGAGAGAAACGATCAAAATAATTGATAAAAAGAGATCGGCGTGGAATAAAACGAGAAAGAGAAGAATCAACAATTGAGGGGGCAGATGATTGACAACCAGATATTTGTTTCGCTAATTTGTGGTTCACACTTTAGGGGGGAAGAAGTAGACGACAATCAAACCTTCCGATTAACAGAGAAGGTTCTTGATCAATAATTTGAGACAATACAAACAAGTGTCTAGCTAGTAGTTGGAATCAAAACTAGAAAGCCATGATACAGAGCTAAATTGCCACAAAGATTTGTTGTAAGCAAAAAAGAATAATCTGGCAGTTATCTATAGTGTATTAAACTAATCTCAGGGAACCAAATCCTCTCTCACCATACAGTATTACTCTCTCTAGCTATCATTCTTGATAACATCATACATGACACAAACAAAAAGAAGATTGAAAGCTTTATGCAACTTTCTACCTTCCATATGGATGGTACCGTCCCGAACCTCCATATCCACCTCTACTTCCTCCTCCATAACCACCTCCTCCGCCTGCAGGACCACCCATGTCATAGCCACCACCTCTGTACCCTCCCCCACCAGTTCCACCCATCCCAGCACCATACCCACCACTACCGTATCCACCTCCGTAACCCCCACTTGGTCCCCCATAACCTCCTGCTGGCTCACCGTACGGCCCACCATACATATCTCCAGGTCCACCACCACCATACCCTCCTCCTCCACCTCCCATGCCGTAACCACCTCCCCTGCTGTAACCACCACCGCCTCCTCCTCCATAACGACCAGAGTATCCAAGTGGAGGCTCTCCTCCTCTATAAGGTCCAACACCACCACCATATCCACCTCCTCCATACCCGCCAAACTCTCCTCCGTACCCTCCATATCCACCAGACCGACCACCTCCATAGCCGCCTCCAGATTTGTAAGGACCATCTGGACCACCATATCCACCGCCAGGCCCTCCACCATAACCATCTCCATAGCCTCCGCCGAAGTTGGAGCGTGAGTCACCAAACCTCCTTGAAGGGGTTGTTACCGAGTTTGGTTTCTTCGGCTCTGCCTTCTTTATCTCTACCTATATAAGACAATGTAAGAGAGAGAGAGATGTGAGTGTTCTGACTAGTTACTAAAGCCTTCGAATCTAAACAATATTTGTTACCTGAGTCCCAGAGAGCTCAATTCTGTTGCCTTTTGCCAAGAGGAGATCAACCATATCTTCACTTTCATATGTAACAAACCCGAACCCACGCGATCTTCCAGTTGCATGATCACGCATAATCTGGTGTTCCTTCAGCTCTCCAAATTGCATAAAGAACTCCTTGAACTCATCTACACACATCCCAATTACCAGAGAAGTTACTTCACAGATAGACATGATCATGAAATGAAAATGATGAGTAAGAAAAGACTGGTGTCTTACCATCATCAACAGTTGAAGGAATTCCACCAACAAATATCTTCTTGGTTTTGAACTCGTTGGAGCTCATTGATCCTCTTGGTATCGTCCGCTTAATCTCAACCTGAAGAGCCAAAAAAAAAGGAAGAAGCAAACGTTATTACACTGTAAGACACAACTTAAGCAGACACAGTTAAGCTTGTTAGCTCAATACGAACCTGCTTCCCGTTAATAATGTGATTGTCCTCCATAACCTTGTCAACCACCGACAAATCAGCATAAGTAACAAACCCAAACCCTCGGGGCTGTCCAGTTTTCCTATCCTTCATAATCACAGAATCTGTAATCTCTCCATACTTCTCAAAATGCTTGACGAAATCAGCTGCATAAACAGATTAAAGAAAAGAACAAAGTTATAAATTATTGAACTTTAACACTATAACGAGAGATCTAACCTCCTGACAATTTAGCAACCAGACACAAGAGCTAACCTGAAGTTGTCTCTCTGGCTAAACCTCCAACAAATATCTTTCTACAAATTCCACAAAACATCGTATAAGTAAAGACTAATTCAACTGAACAAGAGGACTAAACTTATCCGTAAGAGAAGAAACTTAGCCCTAATTTCACCAATCAGATATAAAGTTCGAATCTTTTTCTAATTTATATATCAACAGAGACCCTAACAAACAATTAAACACCTAACAGAATCTCGAATTGAGAGAGAAAAGAGAAAAATTTTACCCAGCACTATCGACGCCACCACCAGACTGAGGCTGAGAAGATTTGTCGTCATCGTTCTCAACGTCTTCGGATGGTTTCAATTCGTGGTTCTCCTCATCCACCACTGTTTCCGTTGCATAAGGGTCCATGCCGGGGAAAAAAATCCAAACCCTTAAAAAAAAACTTCGAAGCGTCGAAGAAGAAGAGAAAAGAGAAAAGAGAAAAGAGGCAGCCGCCTAAAAGCCGTGTAGCGCACTAAGCGAGCCCTAGAGAACCCTTTAGAGACAGACGATACTTATTGTACTCCGCGTAGCACTTGATCTTAGAATGAAAGACGCTCGATCTCGTGTTCTCTCTTTGTAGTGGATTGATCTTAGCCGTTGATTTTACTTTAACAGTTCAAGGACAAAAAGAAAAGGGAAAATACCTATTTTTTCAGTTAACAAAAACAAAAGAGTTCTATATAGACTAAAATTATAATTAAAAAATGATTATAATAATTTATTAACATTTTAATTTTAGAGTAATCTTTTTGAAACTTATGTAAAGCTTTTGTTCAAATAATAATATTTCATTTTAATTATACATGTAATTTTAGATATATAATATTTAGTTAGTTTGACTATCTTATTATATAAAGTAGGATTTTCTCTCATACGAGAGTGTCATGTCACTAATTCATCGCTTTTCAACATGACATATGTCATGGTTCTTGGTTAATCTTTTGATTTTTCGTTTGTTGTTGGTTCATTTTTAATTGGAAAATTGCCAAAAATAACACTTTCAAGATACCACTTTTCAACTTTACACTAACCAACTTTACCACTAAAATTTTAATAGTCAAAATACTATTAGAATTTAGGGTTTTGGGTTTAGGATTGATAGTTTAGGGTTTGTTGTTGATTTTTTAGGGTTTAGGGTTTACTTTTTAGAGTTTAGAGTTTAGGGTTTAAGGTTTAGAATTGATATTTTAGGGTTTTGGGTTGATTTTTAGGGTTTAGGGTTTACTTTTTAGGGTCTAGAGTTTAGAATTGATGTTTTAGGGGTTAGGTTTAATATTTTATTTAATATTTATTTTATGTATATATATAAAAAACTAGGATATAAGAGTCTTTTACCCTTTAATAAAATGTGTATTTTTGAAAATGTTCATTTGTTGATGATAAACATGAAAAGTGGTACCACCAAAGTGATATAATTGAAATTCTCCCTTTTTAATTAAGGATTTAAGTATAGCATCATTCAATGAATCTCATTTTTTCTACATATTTACTGCAATTTTACTGTAATTTGTTTTCATAAAAAAATATTATATCTTAATAGAATTATATGGGATGACTGGTAAGTTTTTTCGTAAAATCTCTAAATTTAACATTTACTATTTTTGTTCAAATTTCTTTAAAAAATATCTTAGATAATTTTGATTAAGCAAAACGTCTTTGGCATGAGCTAATGATGAACAAAGTGAATCACAACTGAAAATTAGATTAAAAAAAATTGTATTCTGGCCATGATAGCCCCCGACTCGGTTGTACGCATGAAGAAATCGAAATGATTCCTAAGATTCCTAAAATTATTGTAAATAGTTTTAGGAATTTTTTTTTGTTTCAAAATATAGGTCATTTTCTCACATATACGTAACTTATACATATACTGGATATAATGTGACTAATCAAATAATGTATGTTTTTATAATTAATAAATTTTATTAATTAAATACTATGTTTTAAAAATAACAACTTTCTTAATATTAATATTTTATTTCAAACTATTGTGAAATGGAAGAAGTAATACTGGATGCAAACGTTTAGAAAATCTCATGACAAAAACAAAACATACTGTATCGTATTTTCTTAATTTTAAGTAAAACCTTTAAAGCCCTAAAAATAAGTGAAAAATAACAAAATATGCCATTGGGTTTTAATTCAAATTATCACTATTTTCTTACCTCTTCCAATAAAAAATGAACACTATTATCATACAACTTTAGTAAATAAGGTTTTTTGTATTTAATTTATTAGTTCAAAACTTATGAATTTGTGTGGTCCTAAACATATTGTCCTTTAAGAATAAATGATTTCCGGGATAATATATATATATATTAAAATATTCACACAAATACAATTGTTATTCTTTAAATATATTATTGTTTTTTAATAGTCTTACCTCCCATAATTTTGCTAAAGTTTTAGTGCAACATAAACACACAAAAAAATAATTGAAAATATCAAATGTTATTAGAATTTGAAATTGTTTTCAATTACTTATAACATGCTTACCCGCCCGTAAGGCAGATTTTAACCTAGTTATTTATATTTACTAAGTTTATGTATGTCACCAAATTTAACAGCAATAATTTTGTTCTAAACAGATACAATTTGATGACAAAAAAAAACAGATACAATTTTGATTATTTTATTGCATTTAGTTTAGATGTTAGCTTAGATAGAATATGTATAATTTGATATATATATATATATATATATATACTGTTTTGAGAATAAAATTTTAAACTATTAAATTAAATATTAGTCGAGTAAAAATTACATAAATAAACATAAAGATACAATTTTGAAATTCATATATATCTTTATAAATAAAGCAGATTTATTACTCTCTATGGACAAATGAATACACATATCAACTTAAAAATTTTAGTTTTTGATTGACTTGGTTACTTTGTAATATATTTAGGTCTTGCTTTCAAATTGGCCCATTGGTAAACTCAAATGAATTAAAATCCAGACTTATTGATCAGTTTAACTCTGTTTTCTTGCTTCGATATTGCCGTTCTTAACCTTACACCTTAGCCATATCCAGTTCTATGGGTGTGCCAAAGGTGCAAAAACACAGAATTTTATATATTTTTCTAAGATTTTCTTAAGATTTTGGGCCTTTTACTTTACTTAAAAACAGCTTTACTTAACAAATATATAAAGAGGTATCACTACAAGAAAATGTGGGAGTAGCGACTAGAATTTACGACCACATATGTGTAGTCGTAAATTAACATCTACTTTACGTCTACCGTACGACTACAAAGCATTTCGTCGTAACTTCGACGTAAAATTGCTACCATTGATTGTAGTCGTACATTAGTAGTAAGATAACGTCCAATTTACGACATCAACACCACGTAGACGTAATTTGGTCGTTATATTACAACCAATTTATATCGATATGTCACTTCACAAGTCGAAGCTAATTGGTCGTAAAAGACGACTAGGTTACGACAAATGCATAGTTGTCGAAGCAAATTGGTCATAAATGTTTGAAGCTAATTGGTCGTAACATTTCCTATAAATACATACCAATATTTTTCTCGAATCTGAAAAATATATAAAAAATCTTTGAAAAAGAGAGAAAAAAAAAAGAGAAAACCATTTGATGTATGTCTAACCAGAATCGGTCATGGAGACCATCACGAGAACCATTTACCCATTAAATTTGATTTGTTTTGATATGATCAGAAAAATCTAGATATCCGTAAATATTCGGAGAAAGAAAATACAAAATATCAACATCTATCAAAATCGAATCAAAATCACAAATATTAAAATTTCGAGAAACGAATATCTATCCCGCTCCGACAGATGTATAAATACATGTATATCTTGATTAAATTTAGTTTTCTAAATGTATATGTTTATATAATTACTATTCTAACATATGATTTAATAAAAAATATTACTTATGAAAGTATCAAATTAAAATGACAATTCTAACATTTTCTTAAGTTTTATCCTATTACCAGGATAAGACATGTGTCTTGCACGGGGTGAATATATGTAATTAAAATATAAAATTTTAGTATTGACAAATTTAAAATTTACATATGATTATTTTTATATGTATTTGGAATTCTGGAGTTTTTATATAATTATCTATATGTAGGATAAAAAACAATTGTAATTAGAACTGTAGATGAAAACTTATAATTTTCACTTTTCAGTGTTCGAGTGATAAAAAATAAACGGAGTGTCACATGACTTAATTGGTAGAGCATTATCAAGTTCCCTAATACTTTCTTAAGAAACATGTGGTATATTTCCATTTAGAATATACAAAGTTTCAAAACTAATTTATTATAATTTATTTATTTGTCTAATAATATCATAAAATTATATTTTTAAAACCTTTTTAAATAAAAAATAATTATAATAAATTAATTTTAAATTTTAAATTATAATTATGTTTAAAATAATATTATTTATTCATACGATATGAGATATATATATATATATATATATATATATATATATATATTAACATAAACACCTATTAAAATAAAATTATTTATTCATATGATTTTATAATCATCATAAATTATTATAAAAAAAATTAGACCTTGATCACAAAAGCTTATGTGAGATTTTTAACAGTTTTAGTAATTTATACTCGTTTAAAATTTTTGAATACAACATATATAAAAAAAATTAATTTTTATTATATGATTAGTGTAGCTGTGTAAGTTATTTTAATAATAAAAAAACAAAAATTATATAAACTATACATATTGTTAACAAATATTTATTATTTAAAATCATTAATATTCATATAAATCTTAATCACATTAGGTAATTCCATATGTTTTATTTAAGGAAAGAATATATAGGAGATTTAGTTTGATATGTTATTTAATTTGATATATCTTATATGAGACCAACAGACCATGTTTTAAAATCTTCCTATCTATTAAATAAGAAGTCACTTTAGTGATTTCTGGTGACGTGTCGCTCATATGTGAAGTTTCAAGAAATTGTTATCATTTGATTGGTCGATTGTTCTTAATTTTTATTTATTTAATTTAGATCTAAATATTTAAGGTAAGTCTAAAATCATTTAACATCACTTGCCATATAATCTAAAGAATATTACAAATAACAATTTATGGAAACTAATTCTCGAAATTATAGAAAGATTAATAATGTTTTATTTATTACTTTTAATATTTATAAACTATAAANATTGTTCTTAATTTTTATTTATTTAATTTAGATCTAAATATTTAAGGTAAGTCTAAAATCATTTAACATCACTTGCCATATAATCTAAAGAATATTACAAATAACAATTTATGGAAACTAATTCTCGAAATTATAGAAAGATTAATAATGTTTTATTTATTACTTTTAATATTTATAAACTA